GAATATCACCATGAAGTACGTGTGCCTTTGCTTTAATATCATGACTAACTGAAAGTTCATCAGCTTCTTTTTTTGTTTCACAAAAAACAATTGCACGTCCATCAAAACTACTACTTGAATATATTTGAACAAGAAAATCAATAATACCAGCACGATCTTGATAAGTACATGATACAGCTAAATGCTAATTAACAAAAAGAAAACCATATATTAAATACTTTCAATTGAAAAGAAAATTTACTTCAACATTTGCCGATGTTTTTTGTGTATTGCCTTTAACTAAATCTACCAGAATAAAATCTTTTGGCATATATTTTTTTGTTGCTTTATGTACCCAATCAGGCATTGTTGCAGAAAAAAAAACAATAAATTGTGGTTTAGTCTCTCGATCTAAATAAATTAAATTTTATTTTAAATTCTTTTTTAATAAATAAATAGATACTTGGTGTAAATATATGTTCAAGAATTTCTTCAACATCATCAATAAAACCCATATCAAGCATTCGATCAACTTCATCAAGAATAACATGTTTTATTTTAGTTAAATCAAGTTTTCCTTTATCAACAATATCTTTTAATCTTCCTCGTGTTGCAACAAGAATATCACAATCATTTCGAATACTATTCTCTTGATCATCATATTTTTTTCCACCATAAATTGTTACAATTGATAAATCACTAACAATTGATTGAAAATCATCCAAAATTTGTTTAGCTAAATTTTATATATTTAAAATAATTTCAATTATTTTATATAAATAACTTACTTAATTCTCTTGTTGGTGCTAAAACAAGTATTCGTGGTGCTCGTCCACGAATTAATTTAATTGATGTATCATTTTGAAGTAATTCAACAATAGGAAAATAGAAAAAGCTAATAATGTTTTTCCAGTGCCTGTATATGCTTGAACTAAACAATCTTTTTGATCATATATATATATTTATAAACTTTGTGCTTGAACAGGAAAAAGAAATTCAACATTACGATCTAAAAACGAAAATTATTTTCATCTTGATTAAAATTTGGATTTTTTTTTACCCTGAAGTTTTTTAATTGTTCGCTTTGAAATATTAAAATTTTTAAACGCTTCTTTTTCTTTATCAGCATCAGTTAAATGCATATTTGATGTATTATTTGTTTCTTCTTGTTTTTTAATTTCATTCATCAATGTATTAATTTTTGAATCGAGTTCATTTGTATTTTCCAATCTATATATAAATAATTGCAATTTTATATGAATAATTTTTGTCTTACATCAATCAATCATTCGTCTTTCCACTGAAATGTTGTTTATCAAACAGAACAGTTACTTCACTATTTAAACCAATAGAATAATTCTAAAATTAGATAAATGTATCATATTTTATTTAAAAAAAACATTGTGTTTACTTTAACATAAACGAATAAAAATTTATCACGACGTTTTAAATCAAGAGAAATGTCAACACCTTCATATTTATACAGAAAAGAAATAGAAGACGACGTAAATATTTGATCATTTCTTGAATTAACCTACTATACAAGAAATCAAATAGATTCATAGGAATTTTTTTTTTCTTACCGAATAATTTTGAACAACAAAATTGTTATTATTTAATACATTGTTAAAATAAAGAAAAATAATTTTTGTTTTAAGTAATTGTTGTTCTCGTTGATTATCTCCCATTTCGAAAAAAAAATCTAAAGTATTTGAAAAAAATTAACAAATATTATATCTATATAATATATATTTTTATTGAAAAGATATTCATGTAAATGTGTTCTTATGAACAACATGGTAATAAACAATTAACTTTAGTTGAACAATTATGTATTGCACGTTCATAACCAATTGATCTTTGAGTAGATTTCATTTGTTCTTCAATTGATGTACGATAACTAACATAAAATATTCTTGAAAATTAATTTTTATTTGTACTAATTCATGTTCAACTAAACACCAAGTTCTAAATATATTTGATAGATCTGTTAATTCATAAGATATCATTTGCCATGGATGTGTATGTAAATGTTCAGGAGCATGACGTATATATATATATATATAAATTTTTCCATCGAATGTAGCTTTTTGTTTTGTTGTTAATTGAAAATTATCATAAATATTTGATGATTGTTCATGTTGTTGTTCATGTTGTATATTCTATTTACGTTTTTGATAATTAAGCCATTTAATATATTGACTATTCGTTTGACCAAAGAATGATGATGGACCAAGAACAATTCTCCATTGACGTGTTAATGTTTTTTCATTTAATTCATCATGTTTACGTTTAGCTGATGGTTTTTTTTATAATTGTTATTGAAAATTTTATTTGTCCAGGTAGATCTTCAATATCATTATTTGTATTAATTAATTATTCTTCATTATTATCTATATGAGTTTGTTTATCAATTGAATTAAATACATCAGGTTATACGTTTGGGTTTAAATAAACTATTATTCTCAACTAAACGTTTATGTAACTAATCAGGATGTGGAACATGAGGAACAGGATTATATTGGTGTATTACGTGAAACATTAACAATAACAAAACGACAACAGAGATCATTTTCTTTAATAACATCTTCACCAAAAAATTCAATAAGTCTAACTTAAGAAAAAAAAAAAAAAGAAGATTTTTAAAAGGTTATTAAAAGATTTAAATAAACCTTTTTGTTCTCGATATTGATGTTGATTTTTCTTCATCATAATCTGATAACATTGTTGACATGGTTCTTCGTTCGAATATTAACTCAAATAATTCTTTATTTGATATATCTTTCGCAACATATCAAGTCAATAATCAGCAATTGTTGTAACATGATTATAACATTCGTCAAGTGTTGTTCCTTTAAGAAATGGTTCAATCATACCCTGCTTGAAAAATTTTTATTAATTGCAATTGACCATTATGTTTTACTTGAAAATCTTTTAATTCAGCTATTGTAGCATCCATATTAAATACATAATAATGTTTTTTTAATACGTTTTCCTTCTTCTTTTGATGCTGGTAATATCATTGCTAAATAAGGATTATCAATTTAAAACAAAAATCGAATTTTCTGAACCAATTTCATAGAGATGTTTTTCTTTATCAATTAATTCATGATATTGATCATTTGTATAATAATCTTTTATAAGTAAATTTAATAAATTACATGGATAAGATATAACAACTTTTGGACGTGATGGATCACGTGTAATTAATTGATAATTTTCAGGAAATGTTGCAGGTAATACACATCATATACCATCCTAAATATTCAATAAGTAAAATAAAAAAAGTATACTTCGGACGGTGTCAAACATCTAGGTAATTTTCCAAGTATTTCTTCGACTATATAGTCTATATTCGAAATAATCAGAAGGTTCGGTTATGTTAGAGTTCGAATATTTTTAATTTTTGGGTGCCTTTAACCTGTCACTTTTTGAATCATATATTTTATTACGTATATACTTATAGTTAATCTCAAATTCTTTTTGTTACTTTTGATGAATTGACTTAACATGAACGAATCGGAACTCTGAAACCGAACCGAAACCTGAACGATCGGTTTCAGTGCATGTTTAGACTTAAACATTACTCTTTTATAAAGATAAGAATTGGGAAGTTTGTGTTTAGTTAAATTAACATCGATTTTACCGTATCAAGTTCGAGAGGTCTTCCAATTTGTTCAATTAGTTCTCGAGTACATTTAATAATTGTTGAACCAATCGTACATATAATTTCACCCATTTCCATTCGATGTCAACGAGCATCTAAATTATCGATGAATGCATTTTATATTTGTACAAATTTGAACAAACCTCTTCGCATAACATAACCATAAAATGAATTTAAAATACATTTATGTCTAAATTATAGTGAATCATAAATAACAATTAAATTATTACATCTTTTAACTTCATTAAAATCATCTTTTTTTTTTTACTGTATTAGCGAAATTTTTTTTCCACTTTTAATATAAATCATTATATTCATAATGCATAGCATAAACATCGATTATAATATCATTTGGATAAATAAGTGAAACTTTAAACCGATCACTAATTTCACCAATAAAATAAAAATGAAGAGCTGAGATAAATCTTCGATGTTCTTCATCAAATAATTTACATCATTGTACATTTTTATAATCAGTTAATACATTCTACTGAAAACAAAGAATCGCTAGAATATTCTATCGAATATTCATCAACCAATAAATATTCAACACTACAATCGTTTAATAATAACTTAAGAATTTTTATTTTTTAATTTATTTAAATTAAGAAAAAAAATCTAAAAAAAAAAATTTTTTTTTTAATAGATTCACTCAATTAATGCATCAGAAAATTATTACTAAAAAAAAAATTTTCCATTGATGTTTTCTACTTCTTGAAGTGTAGTGTATAGAACATCAGAATCAGTCATTTCCAACTAAATAATGATTGTAGAGGAATGTACAATTGTACATTTTTTTTTGTTGGATATACAATTTCTGATGATTTTATTTATAGACGATTGCTATCGCTCTACTTCTTTTTTTCTTTTACCAATTAAAAAAGCAATTGCATTTGTCTGTGTCGCGCAAAAGAGAGGAAGAATATATTCATAATATTTTATAATTTCTTCTAATCTATTGCATTTATCTAGCTCTCTGTCTTTCTCTCTCTTCACGAAAAATATAAATACAGTATTCAGTTGATTCTATCCATGTTTATCGTTCAATACATGATGCCGATATTCTATATGATAGGAATGATATGCCAACACATCGAAGTTTTAGAAACTGTTATTCATTTCATCGACAATAATGAACTCTCTCTCGTCATGTTATGCTGAACAGTAGATACTTTCTCTATAAAAGATCATTTCTATCAATGTACAAATATACTCTCTGGATTATCAACCGAAGTTGGTCATTATATATTCTTGATGTAAAAGTTTGCTTTTAGATATGGAACTGATTTGAACTTTTCACCTTTTGGTAAATCAAAGTTTTTTTTTCAATTTCCTAATCTTCGTTCTAGCACAGAAAAGCTTATATTCTTTCTGTTTAACAAGATGATTAATGTTTTCATTCTAACTACCTTGCAACATGTCTGATCTAATCATTAAAACCCATTGTTATTAGAAAAAAGAACTATAATCAAGTTTCAACGAGCAACCATTCATTGATTCTATTTTCTATTCATGAATGCATAACAACGGATTGATTCCTGCATTAAAACGGATTAAATTATCATTTTTGTCTACTCAATGCGTTAAAACCTGTTTATACAAGAGGAAACCCGTTTTAACCAGTTCAACTTTTTGATACATCATCTGAACGAGTTATAAAGCATTTTTTTCTGCATTTTCTTATCTAAACGTGTTGAAACAGCGTTTTAACCGTTTACTTGTCTGCATGGGTTCTACTTCACCTTTTTTAATACCTTCTTTCGTTCTTTGTCTGATCCGATATGAACTTGAAAGAAAAAAAAACAATAATTCAATGAATCAATTTTTAATCATTTATAGTTACTAATAAAAATAAGCAAATGTAATAAAAGATACTGTTGTAATGATACCAGCACCGAGAGACCAATAATAGAGTGGAGCACGATTCTTTCGGATGTCGTTCAAAAGGGATACCTAAATACAATTCAATGAAAATTATTTACATCAAAATAAAGTTTCTATTAAAATCAGGTCATTTCAAATTTAAAGTCATAATTAAAATCAACTTAAACAAAGGGCATGGACATGACGAGTTTATGCAGCATCTCTTTATCTGCAACCTAACTACTTCACGTCCCAAATATACTTCCAGTGCCGAGTTACGCCTTTGAATAAGAGATAATTCAAATGATCTTCTAATTTAAAGCATCGTCTTGTGTAATTCTTTTTACGAGGGAGTTTTATATGTCGAACAAAGATTAAACGGAAATTTTTTCTAAGAAATGTTGACTATCATATTGCTTTGTTATCTTAGAAAATTCGGAAAAATTCACTTTTAAAATAACGTTCGATAATGTTAGAATCATATTTAACTTGATTTATTCAGCTCTGACAAGGGAAAACCGGCAAGTGTGAGTGTTCATTTTCAAACGATCTTATGCTAGTTTATAGAATTCGATGAACTGATTAAGATGGGATAATGCAGTTTTCCCTATAGGCTTACTTTGAGGAATTAAGTCAATCTTATCTACGGAAAAAAATTATTCTGTATGTCCTAAATAGATGAATATACAATTGAAATCAGATGAATTTTGAAAAGAAAATAATTAAATGCCGTACATTCATAGTGCTCATGATATTGAAATATTCATAGTATTAGACGTAATTAGGATTTCGATTTATGTTGAATGTGCACAGCTAATTAAGGCGCGAGTACAGTATTAAAGTTTTCAATAGTGAAAACTAATCTAACATAAAAATTAAAATGTCTAAAATAACAGGTTTCATTTATTTTTTCTGTTGTTGAAATCGGCCTAGTTCTTCATAGCCAGAGAATGCTTTATCCCATTATTAAATACCTTACCTTTCTCAATCGTATCATTCAAAAAATTGTCGAAATAAATATCTGAAATGTACTAATATTTTGATGGTTTTTTTTTATTCAACTAAATTCATCAAATAAATTAATTATATTTTTCATATTTATTTAATAAAAAATACCGAATTTAAAGAGTTATTTTCTTTCGTATATTGTTATCTAGCGTTACAATTTGTTTACTTTAATAATAACACAACGTTAACCATAATCTATATAACGCGAATGAAATAACGAAACGAAAAAAAAAGAAATTCTTTGTTTCGTTTTATTTTTATTGAGAATAAAGAATACGGACAGAAATAGAAGAAAAAGAAGAAGAAGAAGAAGAAGAAGAAGAAGAAAAGAACACAAATATCAATGAATCAATCACTCGGTTTTTTTTCACAAAAAACGAAAAAAAAAAAAGAGAAGTCAATAAAAATCTTTAGGATAACCTTCAGGTATTTCACCTTCATATTCAAGCATATCTTCTATATCTAAATCATCTTCACCATAAAGTAAATCATCATAAATAAGTTCATCATCAGGTAATGGTACATTTGGTGTATCAGTTGATGTCCAATCTGATATTAAACTATTTGAATGTGTTATTGTTACATCATATGTATTTCTATTTGTTGATAGTGATTGATTTTGTTGTTGTTCATAATGATCATTTGATGAATTTGATGATTGTTGAGTTTCTCTTTCAATTAATGTTGTTGGTAATACAATTGTAGCAGCAGCTGATGATAAAGGTGATTGATATTGTAGATTAGGTACTATTTTAATTTCTATTGAATGTTCATCAGTTGATGTTGAATCTATATTTTGTTCAGATTTTTTATTTATATCCGATATTGATGGAATATTTACTGTTGTTGTTGTTACTGTTGAAGAACAAGAAGGTGTTACTTGATCTGTTGTTGTTGTTATATTATTATTATTTGATGATGTTTTAAATAAAAATGTTGTTAATTCAGATGGAATAATAAGATCATCAGGTGGTGTTAAAGAATTTAATTCGTTTTTTAAGATCATTTGTATGACGTATAAGTGATGCAACATGTTGACTTATTGATGAACTAATACGTTTTTCTGTTGATGATGTTTCTTGTAATTGACGTATCCATGATTCACATTGATCAATTATTTCATCTAGATAAATAATAAAAGAAAAACAAAAAACACAATAATAATAACAAAAAACATTATATTTTTATTTACTTCGTTTTAAAAAGAAATGTCGCCGTATGATATCAGAAAAAAAATACAGGAGGATTTCGTAATTGTTCAAGCATTGCCGATCGAACTGTTGCTTGTCGAATATTAGCATCATATTCAAGTGATTGAGCAGTACCAGTTGCTGTATCACGTGTACGTTCATAACCAGGTTGATTAAAATAAGGTTCAGGTACAAATATAAGAGATTGAATAGAGACAATAACCTTAAAGAAAAAAGAAAAGAAGATAATTATTTTCTAAATCAAATAGAAAATATTTAGTAATAATATCTTTATAGAGAGTTACTCTTCTAATCTTGGAAAACTAAACGATTTTCTTCATTGTTCATTAATCCCCATCCATCAGTCTTAGTGACCTCGAGACATCTCTGATTAAAATTCTACATTAAAAAATTGGAAAGTATTTGACAATTGATTTTAGAAAATTGAGTTATTCTAAGCATATTTTCTTTTTATTTTTTATGAAAATTAAATAACAGAATTTTATATTCAAGTTTAAACAAATTAAAAAATATGATTTTTCATTCATGAATAAATTCTATATTTCTATGCAATAATTATCTCATTAAAATTTGCTCCAATTTCATCTCGTATTGAAACGTAATTACATAAGCATTATTCCACATCTCATTTAAATCCATGGAGTTTTACAATCTCCATAAAAACAAATAAGGTTACAGCTGATTCCATAACTCGAAAGAAAACTATGATTACTATTTCTTCAATTACAAAAAAAACAAAAACAGTTCATTTAAAATTACTTGTAAAAATGTTGATGTTGCATTCCATTTTTCTTCTGGTCTACCATGCCATGTATTTAATATACTTAAACAAACGTTTTCCATCATTATATAACATTTGGATTAAATCTAACTGTATGATTTCCTGTTGTTTCTAAATAAATTGATGGTGGTGTTGTTGGATATTCATTTGGAAAATAAACATCAAATATAAAACATCGATTTGAATATGGTCTACCATCAGGACCTGTTATTAATATTTTCATAATATCCATACGATTTTCATCTTAACGTAGAAATATTGTTGAACTAAATGATAATGGTAATGATGTTGATATTGTTATTTGTTCTTGTGCTAAACGTTTTATTCTTTGCATTGAATTTGTTGTTAATGCATCACGTACAATATCGTTCATAATGATATTTAAGTTTTTTATTAAATAATATTTTATCATTTGTTTCATTTGAAATTGTTATTGGATATGTACTAAATTGTAATAATTTCATTGTTTGATAATAAAATTCTTCTAATGTTATTAATTCATATTTATTATTTAAATTTAATTCTTTAAGATAATTATTTTCAATTTGTTTATCGTTGTTTTATTTTATCATAAACGTTGTTTTAATTCAATTGAAAATAAATTTAATTGTTCATCATCATCAATTTGTATCATTGATGTATATATTTGTACACATTGTAAAAGATTATCAATTAAATATTCAATATTACTTGTATGATAAATTTAATTTTTTTATTTTTCATTATTTAATAAACAATTAATTAAACGTAAACAATAACGATGTATATCACCTTGTTTTGATATATATAATATAGAATCATTACGTAAATATGATTCAAGTACAGATATAAGACATGATGTATTTATTATTTCAATTAAATTATCATCAAGTAATTCTTCAGATAATTTATTTGAAAATATTGAATAAAATATATCAAATAAATAAATAACATGTTCTTCATGTAATTTTTCTATTTGGATTATTTCATCTGGTTTCCATTGTGAATGTGTTGAACCTGTACCAAAACCTGTACCTTTAGCCGAAAAATTTGAATTTGTATTATTATTACTATTATTATTATTAATTGTATTTAATTGTTGTATTGTTGTTGATTCAATTTGTTCAATATCATCTTCATAATATTGATCATCATTATCATCAATTATTGTTGGATTATTTATTGTTGTTGTTGTTGTTGTTGTTGTTGATGGAACAGATAATGATGTTGATATTAAATCTTTTTGTTTACGATGTGGATGACGTGTTATTGATGATAAACATGAAAGTAATAAAAGTAAAATACTTGAATGTAAAATTTCATCTAATAAATCATTTGATGAATCTTTAAGTAAAATCGACAATGTTTCAAATGGTTATTTTGATAAATGACGCATATCAAAATTTTCTTAATGTTGTGTTTGATCTTGATATTCATTTATAATTGATTCGTTTTTGTCCAAGCATTAAACGTATTATATTACATGCAAGTGAACGATTTTTTAACATAACACGTGCATTATTTGGTAAACGAAGAAATATTGAAATTGTTATAAATACATAATATGGCATTGTCATATTATTTGAAGAATTTGTTGATGATGATGATGTTGTTAAACATTCATCATAAGATTGTATTGATGGATAATTTCGTGCAAAATGTTGTGCAAGAATTTTAAGACCATTTGCATGAACAAATGTATCAAGTAATGTTGGATAATCTTTATTTGCAACTATTGATTTATGTATAATTAATTCATTTTCCTAGAAAATAGATTAAATGATTAGTAGGATTTCTTCTAGTTCGACAAATATTTTTTAGTCAAAATTTTTATCTAACGATATTTCATGATAAAACATTGATCGAAAAAAATTTCTTTTTATTAGAAAATTAGTTGGATACTCATTTAATTTCAGAAGCAATATTAAATATTCTCAAATGTACTCTTCGATAAAATGTCTCTGAAAATCACTTTCAACTAGCGAGAATCCGTGCATACTACACGGCTGTTTTCTTCTTTAACATATGACCTCACACATTTAACTTTTCATTCGCTAACAGACATACAGATACTCGATATTTTGTAGTGCCTATAGCCTTATATCCCTTGTAGCTCTTGTAGGCTTATCTCTTTACTCCTTATTACCTACCATCTTACTGCCTTACTCCCTTAAGGGCCTATAGGTACTCTCATATAATAGCCGATGAGGACCTATGAGTACCTCCATATAATAGCCATTGTGGGCCTATGGGTACCTTCATGTAATAACCCTTAAGGGTTTATGGGTATCTCCATATAATAGCTCCTGAGGACCCATGGATACCGCAATAGGATAGCCCTTAAGAACCTATGAGTACCTTCATATAATAACCCTTAAGGATCTCTGAGTACCTCTATATAATAGCCCATAAGAACCTATGAGTCTCCAATATAGTAGCCCTTAGTGCCTGCCTCTTATAGCCTTATTTGACCTTTGACTCGGCACAGAGAAACACATGCTGAACATTATATATAGATATTTAATAACAAAAAAAAACCTTTTTTTTCTCTCAGCTTGCTTGACCATCATTAATTAAAATATGATTATTAAAAGTAAATTCAATAACATCAACTTCGTAAGTATTTAATGATCGACAATCAAATGATAATAATAAATCACTTAATCGTGTAGTTTTAGGTAAAATACATTGTCGTTGTTGTCCATTAATGTGTAATATAAAATGTACATTTTCTATAGGTGATATTGATGAAGGTTTTTTTGATATTGATGATTCATTTGTTGTTGATTTTAAAGATAATTTTGGATGTTTAGTTAAATTAGTTAATGAACTAATTGATTTTGTTGTTAATTTTCCTTGTATTGTTGATCTTAATGAAACTAATTCAGCTCGTGATATTTTTCTTCTATGATTATTATTAATTGGTTCACTTGATGCTTTTATTAAATAACTTTTATTTTTAATATAATTTGTAGCTGTCCATATATTAGCTTGTAAATAATTAAAACCAAATAATTTTTCAATTAATTGTCCAATATTCATTGATTGAGAACAATCTTGAATTAATTTATGATAAAGTGAATTTCTTTGAAATAATGAATAATATTCACGTATATTTATTGGATAATCACGTGTATTTATTAAACATTGTATATATTCATGTTTAAGTACAACTTCACTTAATATATATTGTAAATAACCTTGTAATGGACGATCTTGTTCAAGACGTTGTTCAGTTAAATAAGCTAAATATGATGATATTAATGACATATTTATTTGATTTGTTGGACATTGTATAGATAAATTTGTTAATAATGTTATTAATTGTGTTAATAAAATCGATGATGATTGTATAAATGATGATATATTTGGATTATTAAATATATCAAGTAAATATTTCCATATATTTGATGCAATTATTGTTTTTGAAAACCATATTTGTACATTTGAATATTTACTTATTTTTATTAAATAATCAAGTCCATGATAAATTAATAAATAATTTGATGTTTTATTTATAATATATTGTATTTGTTGATTTAATTCTTCAATTGATTTAATAAAATAATCATTAATTAATATTTCATTAAGAAATTCAACACTTAATGAACATATTTTTAATTGTTTAAAATAATCAATAAATGTTTCATTTTTATTAATATAATTCATAACTAATATTGGTTTATGATGTGCTACTGATGGTAATAACCATTGATAATTTTTTAATAAATATTCTAATAAATTTTCATCAAGTTTTATATTATCTTCTTTTATTTTCCAAAAAATATTATTTATAATTTGTTTCATTTGTTCATTAATTAATTGATTCATATTATTAATTAAATAATGAATATTTTTTTCATTAAAATTTAATTCCGATAAAATATTAAAATGATTATATGTAATTAAATATTTAATAAATAAATCAAATTGTTTATCTGTACAATGATTACTAATAAAAATAAATATTTCATTAAAAAGAAAATTATTTATATAAAAAAATTTTTCTTTAAGTATAAATAAAAATTTTTCAAATAAATTATCATTTAATATTAAATAAATTTTTTAAACATAAATGTATTAATTGTAAATAATGATTAAATGAACGATATTTATCTGATAATATCTTTGATATTTGTTGAGTATTATCAATTGAATTTATATTTGTTGTTGTTGATTTTATTGATGAATACATAAATTTAATATCATCATCATTTAATGTTGTTATTATTGTTGTATTTAAATTATTTTTATTATTTAATATTTGTTTACCATAAACAGTTGATATTAATGTTTGATATGGATGGCTTGTTTGTTCAATAATCATTTGTTGATCATATGCATAATAACCATATATTGATATTTGTTGTAAATCAATTGTATCATGATCAATTGGTTTATAAAAATGTATACGTAATTGTTTAACAATATCAATTTGTTTTGTTAATAATAAATTAATTATTTGTTGTCCTTGTGTATTTAATAAATATGAACATGGTATAAAATAATAACCATCAGATGATATTTCACATGTTATTGATGATGGATATTGTGTTAAATTTGTATTTAATTGATCCATAATTGTATAATGATTTATTGATAATTGTGTAAATGGTATTATTTGTATGGATTTTAATATAATTGCATATGGAAATTGTAATGTTAATGTACAACGTTGTTCATTTGGTAAATATGTATATGACCATGGTGGTGAATGTAAACGATGTGATGATGATTTTATTGTTGTTGTTTGAAGATTATTATTTGATTGTAATAATATTTTAGGTGATATTACATTTGGATTTGAACATATTATTTGACATTGTGATGATAAATTTATTGAACCAATATCCATTGTATTATTTAATGATTGTCTTTGATCATAAATACGTTGTATTGATGGTATTTGTGTTTGATTTGTTAAATAATTTGAATATATTAATAAATTATTAACTAATAAATCAAGTAATTTATATTGATTTAATGCTTGAAATAATATTTTTGTATTATGTATTGAATAAATAATAAATAATAATAATGGTGATGATAATAATGGATTTGTTGTTAAATAATGACATAATATTGGTAAAAGATAATTTGGTTGTGATATAAATGTTGTTAAACAATAATAAATACTATCACCAACTGATATTAACACATTCGACCCGAGAGGTCCCACCGGTGGGACCCGCCCTATCGTAAGAAAATATTTCATAAAAAAAACATTTTCTTCTCTTTTTCTCTTGACTAAAAGGTAGTGGCGTATCTGGAACAGTGGCGACTCGCTGGGGGTGGGTGGGCAGTGGAAGGTGGCGCCACTCTTTTTTTGCTCTTAAATGTTTAATTATGCGTTATTAAAACCTGAAATTTTTAGTGGATGTAGTTCATGTTAGGGCCAGATTATAATAAAAATTTCAGGTATTAATAACACACAATTGAAAA